TAATTTTACGTGTTTTGACACACCATGTATATAGACATACAGTATGTACTCTTTCACTGTCTGGCTTTTTTCCTTTAGCATAATGGTTTGTGTCTGTGTATGTGTGTGTTAGAGTATATGTAGTATAAAATTTACCATCATAACCATTTTTAAGCATTCAGTTCATTGGCACAAAGTATGTTCACATTGCTGTGCAACCATCTGTATCATCCATTTCCAGAACTTTTTCATCTTCTCAAACTGAAACTCTGTACTCACTAAATAATAACTTCCATTTTCCTCTTTCCCTCTTGGTAACCACTGTTCTTTGTGTCTCTGAATTTGACTATTCTAGGTACCTTACATAAGTGGAATCATACAGTATTTGTCCTTTTGTATCTGGCTTATTTCACAGCATATTGTTTTTGAGATGTTTTTGATTTGTTGTCTCTAAGAGTAGTTCATTTTTAGTGTTGACCAGTATCCTGTCGTGTGGCTATACCTTAATTTGTTTATCTTTTCATATGTTAATGGACATTTGAGTTCTAGTTTTGCCTTATATGAATGACGCTTCTATATTTGTGTACAAAACTTTATATGGACATAATTATTTTTCTTCAGAAATTACTGTTATATGTTAAGCATATATTTAACTTTATAAGATACTGCCAAACTGTTTCCTAATGTGGTTGTACCATTTCACACTCCCAGTAGCGTACTCACTAATTCTTGGTATTGTCATTACTTTAAATTTTAGCCATTCTAACGAATATAGTGGTGTCTCCTTGTAGAGTTAGTGTTTCCCCTGAATAATGTGTTCATTGGCCATTCTTCTTTTGCGAAGTGTCTCTTCAACTGTTTTGCCTGTTTTATCCAACCACTGCATTCTCTTCTTGATACTGGGATGTTAGTGTTCTTTTATATTCTGTACATAAATTGTCAAATATGTGTTCTTTTCCCAGTCTGTGGCTTGCTTTATAATTCCCTTAATGTTTTCTTTTGAAAAGCAGAATTTGTAATTATAGTGAAGTTCAGTTTATCAAATTTTTCTTTTGTGGTTCATGTTTTTAGTGCTTTAAGAAATCTCGCCCATCCCAAGATTGCAAAGATTGTTTTCCTATGTTAGAAAAGACTTTCTACAGAATGACCTCAGACTTTTTTTGGCAAACTCAATTGACGATACATACATGATCTGTTTCTGGGCCGTTTGTTTCATTCCATTGATGTATATGACTATCCTCATGCCAGTACCACCCTGACTTGATTACTGTAATATTAAGTTTTGAAACAGGTAAATCCTATTACTTTGTTCTTTTTAAAAATTATTTTGGCTCGTTGAGGTCCTTTGCATTTCACTGTAAATTTTATAATCAGCTTGTGAATTTCTAAAAGAAAATTCCCTTCTAGAATTTTGGTTGGGATGTATTTAACTTATATATCAATTTGAGGACAATTGACGTATTAACATTATTGAGTGTTCCAATCTATAATATGTTGTTATCTCTCTATTATTTAGTAGTTTTCTGTAATTTTTCTCTGCAGTGATTTGTATTTTTCAGGGTATAGGTCTTG